GGGAGAGGGGAGAGGAGAGGAGAGAGGAAAAGGAGAGAAAAGAATCCCAACCCTTAAATCTGTCAACTATGACAAATTAATTTAGAAAAAGAAAAGACACGGTGTGCAGGTAAGCAGTTATATTTTTCCATCAGGTGTGGTGTTGCAAATTTTACGGACACCCAGCGCATTTCTTATAAACAAGAACTGCAGAACTAAACTAACCTCGGTCTGCGGTCACAATCCTTTGGTAAGGATGGACTCGCATATCGTGCCTTCGAACTTTAGTAGCCACCGCACCTAGTTAAATTGCAATTACCAAGACAAAGTTAGAAAACATTCACAAGGGAAAAGAAAACAAACATTAAACAGCAGGTTTATCAAAATGGATTTCAAAGGTTCATTTTACTACAAAAGTTTCCTCTTAAGAAACATGTTAAGGCACAGTAGTTTTAAAATTAACCATAATATGTTGCGTATATATGCGTCTATTAATATTGCATTCATCTCAAACATCTTGGCCTTAACCTGTTTTACGCGTTCATTCACAATCCCAAGGTACAGTGTTTCGTGAACTCTATTAGATCCAAACATATTTCAGCTTTACTAGTCACATATTCACTGAAGTGCCTTTCTCGCAGCAGGACCACTTCAATAATGCCATGCTTAATACTGACAATTATTTGCTAACCTTAAGACCACTTCCAGAGTTTATCGCTTAAAAAGGTTTAAAAGCAATTCTTACAGCCTACAGATTGTGGTTCGAAACTCTGAGTCAATAAGTATGAACTGCAATGAATTAGGTGATTAGTAAAGCAAACAGTGTAGTGCCCTTAGCAGTCAGTACACTATACACTCCTTTATAAATCACCGTTACTTTGTAAGATTACAGACTAAACCAAATTAATAACATACTTTTACTTTCTATCAGTGTGCAAAAAGTGCAAGTGAGTCACTGACTGCTAGGCTAAGCTCCCCCCCACCCCCCCGGAGGCTGCTGAGACTAAGCATTTGTTAAATTCAGATCTGATGAGGGTTCAGTTAAGACCGTTCTTGAATTCTTAGCCTTTCGTTGGGAAAGCCATACCTAAAGATAAAAGGAAGGGAATTAAAAATTAGTCACCAATGAAGACTTGATGCTAATACCAATCTCCTCACTACCACCAACACACATGTCTGCATCTGTTTTGAAGGGCACTGCTTATTTTAAAATAATAGGATGTGAAACTTGATATATATCATGCATGTTATCTGTGTGCAAATTTATTATAACTTAGCAATTTGAAATAATTTTCTCAGTTCTCCAAGTGGTCAATGTCATGTTTTACTGCTTAGGTGGCAAAGCGAGAAGGAAGACTCTGAATGGATTTTGGTCACTTAGTACTCATTATTATTCATTTTATGAAGGCCAATTAGGTATCTGTATATTTCGCTTTTAATTTTGTCAGTCTAATAATTAAGTATTATAAATAAAAATTTCCCAACACAACAAAAAACACATTGCTTTAAAATGAGAGACTGCAGTGCCTCTTGCTGTTTCTAAGCAGTAAACTGGTCCATCACCCCTTCTTGCATTTTAGATAAACTAATCTTGTACAAGTATAATTGCACGAGGCAAAATCAGCAAGATCTTGCACCGAGAGTGCTGGAACAGCAGCTGGTGGCTCAGAGTGCCAGCCCTGCAGGAAGCAACAAACTCCTCGAACAGACGCTGTGCGTGCAGCAGAGAGGAGCTCTGAGACTAAAGGAGCAGGCGTGGGGCCGCGGGACAGAGCGTTAACAGAAAGGAAAACGTAAACAGGTTACATGTTACATGTTATTTTAAAAATGCTTCAAGAAATGTGCAACAGAAAACAAGCCTCTCGTCAACAGCTCTATCTAGAGTATAATTCTGACCTAAGATACTTTATACAACGATTTAGAGATAAACGGAAACCATGTACAATCAAATGTATTTGCTCATGAAACAGAAGGCACCTGAGTGCGTGCACACACACAGATAACATACAGAGCATCGTGGCTTTCTTTAATTGAACAATGAAGTTTCAAGTTTAAATCTTAGTGTCCGGGTTCATGAAAGACTTTCAAATTTTTATAAATCATTATTAATGCTGGAAAAAAAAAACCCAGAACTTAAAAGATCAAAGTCCTACGAGTCCACAGCATGCATGCGGCACCAAGGTCACATACAATTCAAGAAAAAAAGTATTCAAATTCTGTCTGGTAAAACAAAGGGGCAGCACGGAAAGAGTTTGTCCCACATTGACTGGTCGTGTTATAACAGCTGCTGTATTCTAGTCCTTCATCCAGCAAGTCAATGGGCTGAAATATCAGGCATGACTGGCATTTCAATCCACTCTATAAAAAAAAGGCATCAGTAATGTCTTTTTCAAGTACACCACTTTTTGTTCATGTAAAACCAAGCGTTCATAGTATGATCTTAACTTCTGCCTCAAATGTGATCCTAAAACAGTGACTTGGTATTTACTCATCAATTCCATACTGTACTACAGAAAGTAGGAGCTTCTCGTATGTTTAATATTAACTAGGACTTCAACAAAAGAGAAAACCTGAGGAAACCTGAAGAATCCAACCAGTTGACCTGGTCCTTTTCATATTTTAAGCGATCACAAATATTAGAAAACACACAGACAATAACAGCAGTTTTTCAAAGACCTCAAAATATTTTCACACGGAATTTTAAAATTTAGTTGACAAATTAAATACATCTCTGAGACGGAAGGGCTCTAACTGTGGGCAGTGGAGCCAACGGAGGGGACAGGCCCAACTCAGAATGACCTCACCGTCAATGTCAACCGTGAAAAGTATTTTCTGTTTAACGTGGATCTGAGTTACCAACGAGAATCTAAGCAAACTTAGTAAGATGCAGTTATTTTAAGAGGGGACCATTAAGAGAGGCTGAAATAAAGACAAACTTTAGGCTTCAGTCTTCCTAATGGCAACTTGTCTCGCCTCGCTAAAACGGAGACAACCACTTCCAAGTCTGAGGCACAAATGCTATGCAGGAAACTACTGCTGACCGCACAGGGAGAACAACTTACCTAATACACCACTAGGTTCAATAGGATACTCAAGGATTGATGTAGCTGGCGCCAACGTGTAGGGGTACTCGTAGGGTGTGTAGATTAAACCAGCCTCGGGCCCCGGAGGAACTATTGCAGCAGTTGGGTGAGGAGTTCCGTTTGGCATGACAGCGGTCTGTATTTGTCTGATCAAAGGCATTATGGTAGGGCCAGCTGGCGTAGGAGTACGCAGGGCAGCTGGTGGGAGAACAGGCGCAGGCCCAGTGATAATCCTCGGAGCAGCCTGGGCTGTCGCTGCAAGAGAAAAGGCAAGGGCTGCTACAGTAAGCAAAGAAATGTAGGAGGAAGTACAGAGATAGCAGTATAAAATATGGAAAATGAGAGGGAAGTAGGAAAAAGAAAGGAAAAGCAGGAAAGAAGAAAAATAAAAGGAAATCATTAGTACATGCGCTGATCACACAAAATGCCAAAGCACACCGATCAAATGCAAACGGCTTCCCCTTTCCCAGTGTGATTAAGAATAAATGTGCAAAAATTAACAAGCCACTATAAAAAACAAAAAGAACGCGACCATTAAAATAGGTTACATTTAGTTCATATATTCGATATATCTATGGTTTTAAGATACCATGAGACTAAAGGTACATGCAAAAGCACATGGAAACACTCGCATTAAAAGAGGTTAAAAAATATTTTGCAATCGGGAGTCCACAGAAATACAGTTTTGATATACTTCTAGAGTAGCTTAAGTTTCAAATTAAAAGAGGGATTTTTACTGTATTATGCTAGTCAACAAACTACTTTCATACAAATTTCCTGCATCTGTACAAATTCATATAAATTTCCTGCATCTGTACGAATTTAACTTCTTCAGCAATACGTAAAACGTCCCATTCCTAAATATATGATTGTTAATGACATACTCATTCTCGTGAATAAATTAAAGCCCATCATTTGTAAAGCAACCGCTTCCGACCCACTAAACTGCCTATGCTCTGGCAAGCTGGCTAAGACTTTAAAATTCTACTTTAAAAAAAATAAATAAAAAGCCAGTAATTTAAATAGGAGATTATGTTCCTAAGACATGTCGAGCTTAGATCGCCTCAAAATGAAAAAAAAAGCAACCCTCTTTAAAGTTTATGAAAGCATGCACAAATATATCGAAAGGAAAAGTGGGGTTGAAAACACTATCACCTACTGCTCTCTGTGAACTCACATATGAAATCAACAGAGAAAAATACTGCAGGAACAAGCAAGCGAGGTAAAAGGACAGAATTCGACAGAAGGGTCACTGCTTTCAGACACGCTCCAAGTCAGCTTTTTTTCAAAAAGAAGTTTTGAAAACTTTCTGTCTTTTGCACCAATGTGACAAAATAAGCTAGAAGCCTGACATGTATACTCAACAGAATAGGAAACGTCCTGAAACTCTCAACTTTGGAAGCTGAAATTTCATCAAAACAAAAACATTGATGGACCCGAAACCTAGACACGCTGGCGGAAGATTAGAAGAGAACGTCCTCAATTCACAAAAGCAGTCAAAGCGGGACTGCCGGTGCCCTATCAAGCGACACGTGTTTCGACTCTTCGCTCCGGAGCAGTGTTCATGCGCGGCGCCGCCCAGCGGAGCAAGGCCTACGCACGAAAGGGCGGAGACGGCTGTGGCCCTGGACCCCAGCCTCTGGCTTACGTGATTTGACGTTGGCGTCCCTGTAGGTGCCGTTCAGAATTGCGAGCTCCATCAGTTGCATCTTCTTCAGGCTGTCTTCTCCCTCGGCCTGCGCACGGAAAACACAAGAGCAGTTGAGAACTGAAGATGCCCGCGGGCATCACAGCCGCACCTGCTCCCCAGCCTTGGAACGGGCAGTGCGTGCCTACAGCCGCCTGCTTCCACTGGCAAAAGGACAACAAACATACCAACAACCAGGGAACCGAAAGGTGCTGATACACCGACACGCAGGATACTCGCAACTGCCACTACCTACATTCCTACTTGGAAATGTCTTACACGAACTACACCGATTCTATTAAAAGTTTCCTTAAAAAGCAGTAAGTAACAATGTTAATTAAGATTAAATATGGTATATTTATTCTCTTTGGCATCTATCATTTTACAGAAGATTCAAAAACTCCAATGTGCTCATTGGAGAGAAAAGAAAACCAATCCATAAAAAACAAACATCCCCGTCCCCAACTGGGATTCTTAAACCTATAACATTTGACTGTGGTATTCATGCAAGAGGATGTTGTTTAATTTTCCAAAAAGGAAAATTTAATAAAATCATAACCACAAGAACTTCTAAAATCTGAATACATATTCTTCTCTCTCATGCTCACGACATCCCTCTCTCCCCTCAATTAGCACATACTTAAGTGCATCTTCAGGGCCACCATAAGATGCACTGTCCAAGTTACGACACATCTAAATGTAAAAGCTTTCCATCACTATGTGATGGTAACAGGCATAAACCAGGATGGTCTCTGGCCATCAAACTGTTTGGCCATCCCACTTACCGTGGATGTGCCCCACCCTTTCCATTTACTGTTGTCACCCTTGTTCTAGTCGATATTGTTGTTATTACCGAAACTACTACCATATTACGTTAAGGGTATCTGTTCTTCAAACAATCTATACGATGGTAAGATCAAATGCACAAGAACAACTTTTCTACTTATGTTCCTTAACATTTTCATGTCTTGAAACCCTTTCACAGTTTCTTACTATCTAAAAATATAAACCAGTGAAGCTATCTATGATCTGGGCTCAAACTGTCTTCTCAAGTTAAAGCAATTAATCTTCTACTATTTTGTACATATTATCTTATGCTACAAATCCCTGGTATGCGTCTCTGTGCATATTCCTATTGCCTCCACCTTGAATGTCCTTCAGGACTCCATTCCATCCCCCTTCTTTCGAAATTCTACTTAATCTCGGCAAACTTCAACCTAAATGCTACCTTCTCAAAGGGCCATCCTTAGATTGTAAGGCTTCTACCTTGGTTTATAGTTTCATGGACATCACCACTACCAAAGTAAGCTCCTTGGGAACACAGTCTATTTCTTACTTCTCATTGCCTATATTCATATTCCCATTCACCTTATCCTTTAAGTTATTTTTGCTAGGACATATATTTCTAGATGATTGGTAAGAAAAATTTTTATTTCCAAACCTCAAATATCTAAATCCTATAGGATAGATATTAGCTACCGTAAAAGAAAGCAGATGAAGGTAGAAATGGAACTATATGCTCCTCACATATTTTATGCATTACCTAAGCTTCAGAATATTTAAAAAAGAAAGCAACCCAACGACACATTTTTTCTGACTTGGTTCAGGACAGGAGCAACGCCAGATGACAAGCTTCTCTGTCCTTTTCTACTGCAATCAATGATACACAAAACTCTGTCCTTGGCACTAAAGCCGCAAAGGGGATACTATCATTTATAGTAAACAGAACTGCCAAAATGGCTTTTAATAAACCACAAAGAATTAAAGAGAAAGATGAGTGGAACCATGATGAAGGCAAAGTTTAATGTGTCACCGCCAACTTTTCAAAAACCTACGTTGCAGGAGAAAACAGAGAAGACAGTCTTGAATGCTTGTGGAATTACTATTCCTTGACCCCTATGAGCTTGTACAAAGATGAATGAGAAAAAAAGTGAAGTAACAGGATTTCTTTAAAGCCACAGCAATAACTTTAATGATAAAGTAAGCACCATCAATGAAAGGGACAAATTAGAAATCCATCATCTAACTCAAACTCCTTAAACTTGTTCCCTGGAAACTAGTAATATTAAAAATTAAAACTCACCAAGTCATTTCAAATTTAAATCTATAGATAACAGAATACCAGAAGTATATAAATTACACTCTACATAAAAAAAAAAAAAAATAGGTGTACCTTCAGTGACTTGACTGTGAGAAAATAGTACATGTTTGAAAACGCCAGCAAGTAAGAGGTAGAAATAAAGAGGGAAGAAGTGATGAGACATAATGTCTCATACACAGAGCTCTGTACAGAGAAGAGGTACTCAAGCACATGTTTTCACTGAACTGTTCCTTTCAGAAAGTGACAGAAGCATACCCATTAGCTGGTGATGCAGTGTCAAACAGAGAAGAAAGGTCACGGAAGAAATACACACGTGTACATTCAGGGTCCATGCATACATGTGTGTGCCTTTCGCAGGGTGCGGGCTGCTGAAAAGCATACAGTGTCATCAGCAGAGGCCTGCCCCCCTCCCCCCGCACACACCCCGCCCAGGAGGAGAATAAAAACTGGAGCGGCACAGCTTTCACGAGGCAGCAGCAACGGAGTATGCCACGGTGACATGGCTGGAGGCCACAGAGATGTACACGTTACGCATGACAAGTGTGCACTCTGGATTACATCACATTATGGCAGGTCCACTAACACTCCCGGCAGAGCACAGAATCTAGCCGGCAAAGCTACAATTTACACCCGGCGGTCTCGCTCCAGACTGAGCTGCACTCACTCCGGTGTCTTCACCGCTTCTCCCCACGCCGCCCCCCATTCTGTACCCAGAGAGCCGGCCCAACGCTGTGTCCTGAGAGTTTGCAGAGTTCGTTACAGAATTACTCTCACACAGAAGTGCGATTTCAACCTTCGTGTCCTGGTTTTGTCGGCGAAACTTGGCACTGGATACCTGCCTGAGTGCTGCTGAAGGTGTAGGCCGTCTCTCAAATTAAGGTCAGAGAAGACAGTGTGTTGGTTTCTTAGGTAATTTCACTGAGTCTTTTTCTCTTGTCCAGCGGCCCTGTACTGGCCACGCTTCTTGCCAGGAGTTTCCACATGCCATGAGACTTTTCCTCTTCTCTCCAAGACAGAAGCTAACCAAATAGGGCATCCTAAAACCATACATCTTAACGCTAGACGTTTCAAAAGGCATTTTGTAGAACCCTGTTCAGGGATAAACACTTGTATAGAAATGGAACTCTAACTTTTCCTTCTGGAACAAAAGCGTCTGTCTTTAACTAAACCTAAGTCGTAAGAGGGCATTTGAGAATGCTGAATCCAAGTGGTCACCTAGAACTTTATAACTTCTCATTTCTCAAGTATTTGCACTGTATTTTAAAATTCCAGGTATAGTTTACATGCAGTGACATCTTGAGATCTTAAGTGCAACACTCAATCAGTTTTGAGGCATGTACATCAAGACACAGGATGTTTCTATCAATTCGTAAGTTCCCTCGTGCGTCTCTTCTTACTCAAGGTCCTTCCCACCACCCTCTGCCTCCTGAAACCACCGATCTGATATTTATCACCAGCTTAGTTTTGCCTATCCTAGAATTTTATAAAATGGAATCAAAGAGTATATACTTTGTGTGTCCAACTTCTCTCCCTCAGCATACTTATGGAACTCATCCATACTGTTGTGTGTGTCAGTTGTCCGCCTGTTTTGAGAGCTGAGTAGTATTTCATTTATTTACCCATTCTTCTGCAATGGACATTGGGATGTTTCTAGTTTCTGGATGCTGTGAATAAAGCCATTATGAAAATGCTCATAGTAGGTAATTTTGTGACTATAGTTTCCCCACCCCCTGCCCATTTCTTAAATACATACCTATCTCTCATATTTAGTATGAAAAACATGTAAAGGTTACTGAAATATTATGAACATACCTTTGAAACATAAAAGTTTAAAACTATAACAAACACTTGCTAACTTCTCTACAGGTCCACTGCCCCATATCTAAAACCTGTGGCATCATAAATGTTTTGAGAAATGTTCAGAGTTGTATAAAGATAATATACAAAGGATTACATAACATCCCCAATGGGTCTGGAGGAATACTCCAATAACCCAATGTGTAGCAAACATAACAATACATTAAGTAGGATAAAGACAGAGTATAAACATATAAACATACTTTTCTGAACTTTTTGGAGTTTGTAATTATGGATGACAGATTATGGGTCTGTATAAATATATATAACTTATACATATATTATAGTAATTTACAGCTATGTTAAAGGGACAGAAATAGGTCGTGGTTAATACTAGATGAGAGTGAACAGGTTCTAGCATTTTAAAGTTGAACGATTTATACATTACCTTATTGAAACTACATATTAGGTTTTCCTCATCTTAACATTTTATGCTTTATACAGATCTATGGCACTGGTACTGTTATCACCCCTGAGGTTCAGACAGGCTAGGTACCTTATCCAATGTAACATACGGCCACGCTGCAAAACTGGCTTCCAACCCAGAGTACCTAATCTAAAGTCCTTATCACAACTTTTCCTTTATGTACTGCCTTTCAGTGGAATTATCTTTTCAATTCATCAAAGACCTCACATGAGAAATTAAGAAAATCATGTTTAGTTGGCAACTTTAAATTGATAAAGCACACGTTAAAAAAACTCCACAACAATGTAATTACAATAGAGAACCGAAACAAATGTATGAGTATCTCCAAATCATTAAAAATGTGACTAGTACTATCATCTGCCTGTAAGAAAAGCCCAAACTCCCCAGCTTAGCAATCAAGCCACTAAACAACTTCTATAAGCAGCCCTATTTGCAAATATTCTGCATTAGTCAAAATCATCTACCCACTATCCCCTAGAAGCCCACTGTGCTTTTCTGCCTCCAAGGTAGACAAGATCCTGTCTAGAAGCATCCTATGTATGTCTCTTTTGACAGCCCAGATCACTGTCCTCTCCAGAGTACATTCTTTTCGAACCACACCCACCTATAATGGTATCATTTTCCTAAATCTATGTTGCTCCTTTTGGGGCACTTAATCCTATAC